ATTTTTTTATCTACACTAACAATTTTGCATGTCTAGACATGTAGGAAAATGTCTGAAATAACAGTGTTTATTGATGACAGCAATGTTAGGATCAACAATGCTACAGATACTTTGGCAGAAACAATAAAATATACTGAAGAAAGACTTGAGATAAATTAAACAAAGGTTGTCTTGTAGTGTGCGATGAGTACTTAAACTCTTATATTGTGGTTGCGAATCACCGCGAGCCAGCCGCAGAAGCCCACGTGACCACCCGACGATGCCCGTTCCCAGTCGCAACAACACCGCGACCCGTGCATCCCAACGACAAGCAGACCTTGACGTGCCAGGCCCCGGCGACGCCGCGCGCTACCAGGCTAGCCAAAGTTACCCGCGCGCATCGCGACCCTTCAGCTCCTAGGCTACCCGATATCCTCGGACACAAACAACGCGTGTCAGTCCGTAGCCCTCAACGAAGCCGACGCACGTGACCCACACGCAGACGCACACATCCGCACGCAGCCATGCAAGCCTATGAACACGCTAGGGCCCTACAGCGCACAGCGCGCACGCCAACAAACCCCCAGCGCCCGATGCGCACTGTTCATGTGCGATTTTACACCATATTCATGTAGTATCTAGAGCTTAAGTGTTGCATTATTGGTGTATAAATTGCACATTTGTGCTTTAATTGTATATTTGTTGGAATGGTATTACACGTGCTCGTTTTGTAGATATTTTCACATATTTGTAGAGCTTTGGCTATTGGAGGAGCATAGTGAGTGCCTGAGACTCCCGGGATAATGATAGATCGATGCACGGATGAAGAGAATGGAAGAAAAGAGCGAAACGAGTCGAAAATGAGCGTACAGTAGTGTGACACGACCTGTGACACGGGCTCCGGGGTCGTGTCACCACCCGTGTCACCTCAACAGACAGCAATGAAGGATCTATACCTGACACGACCCGTGACACGACCTGTGACACGGGCGTGTCAGGTCGTGTCGCGACGCGGGCTGTTTTTAATTGCTTACCTTTTTCACTTAGGAGAGGACTTTTGGGACATATAAAAAGACCTATTTATCTGATTTTGAGCCCTAGAACGTGATTACGCAAGGAAGAGAGCCAGAGAACACGCAAGAGAAGCAATTGGGAAGAAGAGAAGATCGACGACAAGCTTACTAGTTTTTCTTTCTATCTTTTGAACTTGTTTTCTCATGTTGATTTTGAATATGTCTATGTATTTGATTTCAAACATGAGTAGCTAATCTTCTTTGATTCTAGGACATGGTAGTAGATTAATAGTTTGGGATTTTTGGATGATTTATTATAATTGATCGTTTTCTTTTGAACCCTATTCAAATATTTCAATTGCAACTGGCCATTGCTTTTACATGTTTGATGATATTGTTCATAATTCGAGAGATGAGTTCAATATAAGATCTTTAATATTTGACACAATTTGTTTACTTGAATCGAGAGATTAGTAGATAGTTGTGAAGAATTTTGGTCTTTTAATCTATTTGGAGTTGAATTGCATGTGTTGAGTGGAGACGCTAATATATGTGATTTAATCTACGGTTTTATCGATCTCGAGAGGGACGATAGGCTAATTTCGTGATCATCTTATAGGGTAGATAAAGAAAATAGTTAATTGTGATATATCTGAAGGAACCCAACTGTTAATTGAACCCATAGTCTTAGAATCTATCATTCCCATATATTCTTCTTAAGTGTTTTTCTAGTTGTTTTCTTGTTATTGCTTTCTTATCTTTTGATTTATTTGCTTAGTTTAGTTAATCAATCTCATATTACGATCGTCTAAATAAAGTTGACACTATCATAATCTGGTACTTGATTAATTGGTTGTTTGGTCTCTTGGGATACGACCTTGCTTGCCACATACTACGAGCGAAGCCGTACACTTGCGGTCGAGCTATAAAAATATAGGCGAACACGCACGCACCCTGACAGCGCCCGACGCGCATCCATCTCCGGTGACCCGATCAAGACCCGACCATATACCGATGACCCGTGATCAACCGAGAAGGCCAAGTACGACTTCCCAACGGACTCTGCGGTCTAGAAGATTCCTTACAGAGGAAATCTACAACGTCTCAGAGTTAGCAAACATTTTAAATGGTAAAGTCTTAATCCTAACTATAGATTCGTTGCGTTAGGATTTAATTCGTTGGATTCGGATGTGCATATCAATGATGTTCCTAATATAACCCAACACTATAGGTAAAGGTAGAAGACTTACAATTCAATAATTTGTTGACTCTGAGATGTTGTAGACTTCTTTTGTAGAAGATCGTTTGATTCACAAAGTCTATTGGGCAGCCAGACGTGGTCTTCTCGGAGCATCGCAGGTCGCTACATGCTGACGAGAAGAAGACGGATCGCGATCGGTGTCGGAAAGCACGTCTTAGGCCGCCTGCGCATCGAGAAGGTCTCGAGTCGCACGACATCACGAGGCTGCTGGCGTCGCGGGTCTCAGCGTCGTAGGGATGCAGCAGGTCATCGCGGGGCGCGAGGTTCACACGGGCCATCACCGAGAGCAGGCGTGCGACATCGTCTGGGCACTACGGGGGAGCAGGTCGCTTCTGGTCGTCGCCAGTGGACTCGGGTCATCTCGCGGCGGCGTTGGGCAGCTGGCGGTGGTGGGTTGCTCAGGATTTTTCGGGTACTAGACTACCCCCAAGCTCTTTTATTGAGTTACCTGACACCTCTAGAACTCCCTTGGTGGGATGGAGAATCTGGATATATCTATGTTGTATGTCTTGGAAGACTAGAGAAGAGGTGTAGTTATAGGCTTCAATAGAGACCATAAGGAGACATTAAATTGGGTTTCCCTTATTTTGGCTTAATTGTGGGCTAAACATACCAAGCCCAAATAGGAATAATAAAGTCATTCCACTAAAGTAGTATTACTGGATTCTCCCAATTTAATTCCCAAATTACGATTTGAGTTGCACTCCTAAAATACTCGAAATACCTCCACATGTTTAAGATATAATATTCATCAATTTATTTAATTATGAATAATTAAATTAATTGTCTGCTTGAATCGAAGCGAGCACCATTCAATACATTATTATTATGTCGAAATTTAATCCATCTGTATGGTTTAATATAATAATCATTCTGAACTCACTTTGGGGACATAATCAAACCTCAACTTTGTGAAGCACACGGTGACTGTCAATATTATAACAGAACACAATATCATGTAGGAAACAATAACCAATCCAAACAGTTATTGGTCTATATTAATAAACCTCACCTTGTTGAATAAAATTAGTAATTACTACATACATGAGTTTATTTATAACTTATGGATTAAGAGAATGCAGTAATTAATCGAATCCTAGTTCGTTTATACCGATCAGTAAAAAACAAACTACTGCTCTCTGGGATCACTGAATACACAAGTGAGTACTAGTGTGACTAATCAGTCAAGACAGACTGTACCACTCACATTACAACCGTTCCGATGGATTGTTCAATTTCCATTAGGTTGTGAATCAACTGTTTATGTTTTGCAAGTTAACAATAAATGATCTTCTGTCCATCTGTGATGAACCATTTATCTATGTCCAAGCTACAGAACATAAAACTTTAATTAATCAAACATGAATTCTCATTCATCATAAATATGTAAATAACATCCAAACTCAAGTTTTTAGTGTACACACTATCAGACGAGGGCTTATAGTCTTCTGGTTATGGTGCTCTACCATACGGAGATTTGACTCGAGCTACACTCTTTCAGCAAAAAGATTTAGATATCAATGACAACGAGATTGGCCTTGATTATCCGGACACAATGAAAAGCTATAGGGATTTCGTGGTTTTCTACTACATACTTCAACATACCGGGCTTGCTTTGAAGTTTTTCAACCGGGCACTGTCTCTCTTGCTTTTGACTGGCGAGCCTTGCCTTCTCATTCACATACTGTTGCTACCTATATTAATGTGGCTATGAGGGAAGACAGTTTGGGGAACGTCCATGTTGCTCTTAGGTATCTACACGAGCCTCTCATCTGTTGCCAAAGACTTCTAGGAGTTGCCCACATATAATTGTTGCTAGCTATCATGCTATAGCACTTCTTCTCTCGTTTGTGCATGATCGGAGAAAGCAGCAATGGCCGTCTTGGACGATTTACATGTGGGCTACAACATCTACGAGAATTCTGCAATAGATGAGCGTGAGGCTCATTGGAGGCTGGGAGTCTTCTTAATCTCAGTGTATCCCGACCAGCGACAACCACTCAATGAGGCGACATGTCTACCTGAGACAAGATCGCGCTCAAATTCGAGGGCGAATCCTTCTTAGTTGTAAGAGCATGATGGAAACGAGATAGCTTAATTATTTATTTCCATTGTTATTTTTTGTTATTTAACTTATTTACTTCATATATTTGGTAAGTTATTTATTTATTCTTTTTTTCTTTGATCAGTAATATATTTGGTAATTTATGAATCCATGTCTTGTTGAACAAACAAGGAACCCAGGTTTTTTAAGAGTTAAGATTTTTTAAGTGTCTTACTTGAAGGTTTATTTTGAGGCAGTTGATTTTGACTTAGAAAATATGTAATTGAGAAATAAATCTCCTCTTGATTACATCAAAAGTGATTGGTTAAAAATAATTAAAAATTTTTATAAATTTTTTTATCCAACCATCCCTTTAGAAATCCAAAAGAATACACCCCAAATTCTTAAAAATTTGTATCCAAACATCCCTTTAAAAATTTGTAGCTCATTATACATAAGTAACAAAGCTACCAAACTGAAGTCCATTCTACAACACAACAGAGTCGTCCCTCAGTCTTTCTTGGCCGGAAAAACAAAATCCGGTGCACGTTGAAAACCCAGAATCTGCACCACCATTATTGTTCGTAACAACGAAAGATTGTAACGAGCTTCACACACACACCAAAACCGAGCACAATGTTCAGGCTCGTCGTCCATCAGACACAAACTCCACAAACCATTTCGTCTCGGGACCCGCACACCACTACAATGAAAAGGGATCTCTAATCCCGAGCGACCTCCCGGCTGACTGGGACTGCGAGACCGGGACGAACGAGAGCCTGATCATGTTGGCCCCGGACGAGCGACACACGTCGATGCACTCCTCCAGATCATCGTCACACGTCAGCAGGACCCACTCGGCATCATCATCCAAATACTTGAGATGAAACGAGCCTGCAGTGGGCCCGTCACCCACACCAAACCGTCTCGTGATCTCCCGCAGCAAGTCATTGTAGCTCCAACCGATCTGCATCCGGAACCTGATCGTGTCCTCCCCATAGTTGACTTTCACCCTTTGACCGCCCGTTTCCCGGGCCCCGACTATCTCAGGCTCCTCGGGCCCACAAATCGATGGGTGGCTCTGGGACCTGGAAATGTTTATCGGGCCTTGAAAGGGCTCGTCCTTGACTGCTGGGGCTTCAGGGCATGGAACTATCAGCGGGTAGCAGTTGGGCTGGGCCTCGCTCGAGTAGCACTGGCTTGAGCTCGAGTTCTGGCTGCAGGAGGAGGAAGGGGATTGGGATGCAAATGGCGGGAGTTCAGGGTCGGGCGGGTGACCATCATTGGGCCTCAGCTCGTGGGCCGAGGTTTTGGGGGCCGTTTGGGATGTGTTTGGGGATGCGAGCTCAGGGAAGTTGGAGTAGAAGGAACCGAATTGCACGACGCCGGATGCACCGTGGACAGAGTCGATCACGCGCTGGATCTTCTGCAAGGAATGGCCCACTTTCTTGATCTTTCGGGACGGCCACCGTTGGATCCCGTGCTGTCGGCATATCCTTTTCAAGGTGGTGGGGCAAACTGAGATTTCATTGTAAAGAGAAAAAGATCGTCAAAAAATCAGAGATAAGCACAGACACTCACTCCCAGCTTTGGAATGGATTCAGGATGAATGCAAACCATGACCATAAGGTTTAGACTAATTACAAGCCAGAAATAACAAATCCCATTACCAAATAATAATTGTAAACACCCCTTGGCCCGTAAAAAATTTATCTAAAACAGATATAGGTAAAAAAAAGAAGAAAGAAAGCATTTTTTTTCCCATAATGAAGAGGGTAAGGAATGGAAATTACCACCAAGATTCTTTGCAGCATCCTTCAAGCTCCCAGCAAAGTGCTGCCTGAGCACCTCCAACGTGATAGTCTTCTCCGCCTTGGTCCGTCTCTTTTCTCCCGTTCTGTTAGCATACAGCAAGCTCCTGTCGCTAGACGTCGACGCATTATTCTCGACAAGCCCGAATCCTACATTTGAACCAGACTCGACCTGACCCAACCCGGCCAATGATCCCTCCCCGGATCCTTCCACCGATTTTCCACTCCCAGTATCCCGTTCTCCCGCACAATTCTCCTCCTCCCGAAGCTCTTCATCCGTGACAACACGCAGAGTCAGGCAAACTTCTTGGATTGTGTTGGAAAGGGAGTTGAGCATCTTCTTCTGGTCCTCGTGGGCCACACAGCCCATGGGCAGGAAGAACTCAAGGACAAAATCAGCAGGGCCGGTCAAGACGCTCCTCAGGCGTATGGCGACAGCCGCCCGGAGCCCGAACATGCGTGCATGGTGGGACAGCGGGTACTCGGTTTTGCTACAGGCAGACACGTCAGGCACGAAGCACGGCTGGTTTGTACAAAAGGCTTTGCCGACGATACCCTGGCCCCTCAACAGGTGGTGCTCGGCACACGCCTCGTGGAAGCCCCGCACGTGTGGGTCCGCCACGTGGCAGGCGGGCTCCACAGGAGAGATGCAGTTATTCGAGCCCCCGTCCGGGCAGCACCAGCACACGCCTTGGCCCCCGGAAGAACACGGGACCCATGTTTGGGCAAGCGGGAGGCCGTGGATTTCGCATGCGGATCTCAGGACGTCTAGGATTTCGAGCAGTGCGGGTTGGTAAGGTAAATCGGTTGCCTGCTTAGAAAACATAAGTATTTTTAATTTATGAACGGACCTTTGTTGGTGAGTTACCGATAGATTTTGTGGAACTGGAAAAATGTACCTTGAGGTTCTTCGTATTTGTAACGTTAGCACTCTTGAGATTAACAGCCTGTAAGAACAAGAAAGAATACTAAACTTAGACATTCACAGCACAAAGGTTGTTTCTTATCATCGCAAGATTTGGAAAAACAATAGCAGGATACCTGCGTACTTTACGTGAAATTCAAATATTTCAAGACAGCACGTTACAAGATCAAAGGTTTGTTCACTAAAGCCCGCATACGGTTTCTTGGTAATCAGTAAAAAAAAAATATATAAAAAAAAAAACGGAATGAATGTCAAATACTCATTTTTCCATTCAAATGTCTACTTCTAAGTGTTTTGTTTCTGAGACAGTTTTTCGATCCTAAAGAGCATGCAAGCAAATCACACAAGACGACTAAAAACGATACTCTCATCATCAAAATAAAGAAATATGCCCACAGTAAATTATCTTCTGAAATCAAGCAAAGAGAGAGCTTCAAAGTAACAGTTTTGAGGATGGAAGCACTGAATCACATCTGTTGTTAACATTTGAATCCATTTGATCATGAAACATTTATAACCTTGACATTTAGCCATACCATGTGATGGCACAGTCAGTTGGATTTGTCAAATATGGAAATCTTGTATCAAAAGAAAGCTTAGATGTGATAAAAGGATTGGCTTTCAACAGCTTTAACTTTTTTATACATATTTTCCATATATTTTGGCACTCTGCCTCAAGAGAACAGCTATAAAGCACCATCTTCAGAAGGAAAAAAACAAAAAAAAAAAGAAGTCAAACCTCAAGAGCTTCACAGACACTCTCAAGCTCCGGCCTATACTGTATCTTCTGCTTGGTCAAGACAACCTCGATTACACCCAAACAATTCCGGCTCCCCTCCTCCAGCACCGGCACAGCAAGCGTGCCCCGCACGTCAAATCGCTGCGCGTGCCCGACCCTCGGGTACTCGTCGCACGTGAAGAAACGGACATCTGGCGTCCACTCGGGTGCCCTGTTCATGAAAACCCTTCCGGGCAGCCCCACAACCTCCTTAGAATCCTCGTCAGCAACAAACTGGAAATTGACGGATATGTCCCTGTAGTGAGCCAGCCTCGGCGGGCAGTTTAGATCGAGGGAGAACGGTTGGTTGTACGTGGTAAGCACACGCTTCCCATCTCGGGTAATCGGGACCCACACCTGTATGAGCATGTCCTTGTCCCTCGACCGCTCCTTTATGTGGCCCAGAGCTTGAATCAACCGGTCCACCACCGTGATTGACGGCCTAGGCCCAATCCAATACTTTCGGGCCTCGACCAAACCATTTTCGAGCCGGGGGATGAGATTAGGAGCATTCTCTGAAGGATATTGGCTGATGGATAGATTTTCGGGAAAAGATGACGTTTGCCTGTCTTCTTCTTGTTGGTCAACTTTAGACGGGCCTTCATTGGATTCAAGGGCGGGCCACGGGAATGAGGGCTCGAAAGGGGAGATGGGGGTCGAGGGATTGAATTGCGAGAACTCGGATCCGTTTGTTTCGAGCCAACACCCTTCTAGTAAGAGTTCATCCATGTAGTCCATATCCATGAAGGCATCGGGTGGTGCATCGAGATTCGTGCTCGGAGGAAGAATACCTTCCTCCATTACCAAAAGATCCTTAAGACAACACGAAATAGAGTCTCTACACACACACACACACACACAAACTGCTGAAACTCGGAACCAAATTTATAAGACCTCTACAGAAGAAAACACACCTGTAAACCAAATATGGGTTTCAAACTGTAACTAACTGCAAAGAACTTATATATCCCCCGAGTAAAAGAATCTATAAAGAGGCCCAAATTGCTATTAGATTGCTACACAGAAGTATCAAACATCGAATTTTTATGTAATCCTTTCATCAACATGGACTTCTTGATTGAGCTTTAGCATATAAAGAATTTTATTTCAAGATTTCTTTGTATTTTCCCACATTAAAGATCCCTTTTTCCCCCCCTTTTATCTACAAGGAGAAAATTGAAAATGAAAAATCAATGAACTTTTTGCACACACAAGAACAGCAAAAAGATTTTATGGCCCAACACCAACAGTAAAAGGGCTTCAACTTTTTTATTTCTTCACATAATTGGCAATGGTTACCTGAGGCTGAGATGCAGGACAATCAGCAACACACAGTTTCTTTAGTAGGCCCACTCAAAGTTCCAATCTTTATACAAAAAAAAAAGGGGTTTACAAGTCAAATTTGGCCTCTCTCGCTATCATAGTCGTTATTATCTGCCACAACACAAGCTCTATTTGTGAATCTATACAAAGCCCGACTGTGGGTTTTGCTGGTTCAAGGAAGGTAGAAGATTGTAACTAGCTACAAAGCATACATCGCCCCCGTCTCCGTTGGGATTCCCGCTGTACATCTACAGTCAACTGTAAATTAATAGTAGTATTAAACAAATAAAAGAGAACAAAAAAAAAAGAAAAGAAAAGAAAAGAAAAGGGCAGATCGATCATGATTAACAGAAAGGGGAGATTTTAAACTGGAAATTGTCTCTTGCTCGAGATGAAAAGAAAGAAAAACTGTAGCGCCCCGATTTTTCGCAAGATAAATTTTGATTAGAAACGAGCACTAAAGTTAAAACGGCGTTTTTAGGCTATGTTTGGTAAAACTAGTTGATAAGTTAGCTGAAAGCTGATAAGCTAGCTTATAGCTTATATGTAATTTTCGAGCTTATAGCTTATACCTTATGACTTATAGCTTAAAAGCTAGCTTATATGATAAAAGTGTTTGGTAAAATTAACTGATAAGCTAGTTAGAATAAAAAATTCAACTAGCTTATTTGCAAAGCTACCTAAACAAGCTTATCAAATAAGCTCGAGCTTTTTAAATAAGCTCGTCCTACCAAACGAGGCTTATTTGAATACAGGTAGCTTATAAGCTAACCAAATAAGCTATAAGCTAGCTTATTTGGTTTACCAAACATAGCCTTAATTAAGACAAACAACTAAATTTTTTTTGAAACGAAAGTGTATCTAGTAATAATTAGAATCTTTTATCGTTGTGCACTTTATTCTGTCAGATTTAACAACCGTTAGATCATCATGTAATCGTCAGATATAGTTAATCTAATGGTTACAAACCCCGACAGAATAAATCTATAACGGGACTATAACATTTTCCAATAAAGTAATTACAAAATATAATCAGTTTAACACAAAAAATGGAATAAATGAAAATAATATAACTATTCAAAATTTGCAACATCTAGAAATACAATAAATAAAAAAAAAAAACTATCAACCACCTATTGGAAATATCATTTTTCAACAATCTCAAATAATGAATAACTTTGTACAAATAGTAAAAATAAAAATACTGTTATAAAACTAGAGAAAAAGAGAGATAATAGAGAAAATGTTTCTTTTAGGTACAATTTTCATTATAACTGAAGTTCCTATTTATAGGAAACTTCTGATGGGCACAACCGTAATAATACAATTACATCAGGGACAAAATAGTCATTCACATACATTATTTTATAATAAATATTTCACAACACTCCCCCTTGAATGACTATTTCTAAACATATTGTAACTGATTAGAACAAAGTCCAATTTGCATATCTTCAAGTATATCTTGTGGCCATCAGGTACCGTTGCTTCAGCATGTCAGGAAAACCCGGTGGGACAAAACCTGATCATCTTGAAATCATAACATTGCTTCCTCAGGAAAACCCTGTGCGACAAAACCTGAGCATTGTGGTATCATAACATTGCTTCACCTCAAATAGATCATCTTTAATGGAGTATCCACGTGTTGCCTCGTTAAAACCTTGTCAAGAAAACCCAGTGGGAAAAAACTTGATCGAAGGAAAAAGAGTACAGCTACTCCAGTCTTTTCTCATCATCATGAGGAATCATATCAATTATCAGTAGTCCTCATTATACCATGAATGTGCCTCGTTAAAACCTTATTAGGAAAAACCCAGTGGGACAAAATCCTAATGAAGTAAAAAGAGTACACTATTCATGTGAATACGCCATCCCTGTTGCCTCATTAAAAACCTTGCTAGGAAAACCCAATGGGACAAAACCTTAGCCAAGGAAAAAAGAGTACAACGCGTATTCCATATATTCACCATAATAACTTTGCCATAATTTTCATGAATATCATATAGATTCATTCAGATTTTCCGATACTGGTGGTATTCATGATAATATGTCATATCATGTTTTTGTGCAACTTTCATTCTTAAACTCATTCTCATCATCAATCGATTTCAATGGTCTTACTGCAAATAGTTCTCAATATTCACAATTGAGCTGATTTCATTCTCATTAATATCATTTATATAGCGCTATTCATTTGTTTGTGTCGACACATATTCATTTCCATTATTCCCCGTAACATATTGAGATATCTCATTATCATTTAATTTCATCGATAGTATATATATATGCCTCCTTTCATCACTTATTTGGGGAATTTCAATTTGCACAATTCCAACGCTTCCAGCATATCTTTCCACCATCATATCATTTCATATATTTAACCACCATTAGTATCATTCAGTTTATGATTTGCACACTTTCAGTGTGATGCATATATATCATATTCAAAATTTTAATAAATAATTCTCCCCCTCATCTTAACAGATCTCTGATCTGTATTTTCAGTTTTGAGTTTCTTGCAGCTGTAAATCAAATGGGTTACGTGTTTCCATTTTTATATTTGTATAACCCAGTCTTCTGAATATTATATTCTTAGATATTTTTCTTTCTGTAAAAGTTCTACTCATTCTTCCAAGCTCCTCTTGATTTTTGATTTTGTTATAAAACTATCAAGCAAATACCAAAAATAAAAACCCCAGTAAAAGCCAGATTCATCACCATCAGCGCGACTTTCAGTGATAAAACAGATCTTCGAGCTAAAGCACACGTCAAACCAAAAACAAATTCAACAAAATACCTGGAAAAAACAGGGGAAAACGGGAGCAGCGGTCAGTGGTTCGATCCCGTGTGTTGCGGATGTCGCCAACGTTAGAGTGTTTTTGTTGGTCATTCCCAAAGCCAAAAATGAGGTCTGACTTAGAGAAGAAAACGTGTGGAGCCAAAAGGATTTTGAGGAATTTCTTGAGAAGAAAATAAGGGAGATAAGGTGATCTTATTGTACTCAGGACACGATTCATATTCTTATATGAAGTTATTTTGGAGAACATAACGATTTTATAATATTTCAATTTCTGATACAGAGGATCGTCTATAAGACGCAACTGTAGAGCGTACTCTCGTTGTATTACAAATCGAGCTCTAGAGGGTAGAGACTCGTGCTGATAACGTGTTATAAAACTAGAGAAAAAGAGAGATAATAGAGAAAATGTTTCTCTTAGGTACAATTTTCATTATAACTGAAGCTCCTATTTATAGGAAACTTCTGATGGCACAACCGTAATAATACAATTACATCAGGGACAAAATAGTCATTCACATACATTATTTTATAATAAATATTTCACAACAAATACATCATTATATAAAAATCAACGATAAAATAGAATCAATAATTAGTAAAATATGTTACTTTCACTTTGTCCCACCGCTAAGCGAACAATGCTTAGTGGGTCAAAACATGTCACCTACGAATATTATACAATTACACAATGAAAATATATTTACATTATAGTGAATCTCCAACATGTTTTACGTAGAAATAAATCCACGGAGTACTCGGCCATAATGTCTATGTATAGCCAAAAGGCTATATAAATTCCAGCCCGAAGGCAATTGAATACGGAGATCACATAAGTAACTTGAAAGTAATAGTGAAACATTCATAGGAGACATGTACATGAATTGTTTGTAAGAACAAACCCCACCTTGATAAATGGATGACAAGTTTGACTTGAAAGAATGTCTATTCTTTAGTATGATCCAACTCTACAAATATGAAATAGTCTTGGATTAATGCGATTTAACATATAAAAAATAGATGAAGGGTTTAATTAATAAATTAAATATAAATATATATATATATATAATATTGAAAGAAAGAAATAAAACAAAATAAATAAGTAATATAGCACTACTGCATAACACGTTAAATATATATATATATATATATATATATATATATATATATATAGAAAGGATCATATGAGAAAGAACTATAGTGAAAGAAATAAGAATGATTGTAGGCCTTTAGATTTAGTAAATCAACGGTCATGATCAAGTCAAACTTTAAAAAATCAGTCAAACATATAATGGCATTATGGTAAATATTTGAACATATAATGGTCAAATATGTGCATTTGACCAATTATTAAGGGTATAGTAGTCATTAAAACAAATAACAAATCTGGTGACCCCACCCCATCCCTCTCTCACACCAACACACAATACACTCACAGAACCGCCGCACACACACACACACGCACAAACACACTCCGGCAACAGCACACCACCACCCGCCCGCCGCCTCCCAATCGCCGTCCGCCACTGATAGACCACCGTCGACCACGGAGATGGCCTCCACCAGCAGCACTGCCTCTGCTTTCCGTCGCAAGCTTTTTGGCCACCGGAGATGTCGACGTCAGCCACAACCCGAAGCTTCATGCCGGTCACGTTCGGTTGTGCTTCGACGCAATGCCTCT